TAAGTGAAATGGTTAATATATTATTGAAATTACTAGTAAACTTATCATCAATTTTAATATGAAAAACCTAAAATAATGCAAAAATTTCAAAATAAAAATAATTAAAAAAACTAACCCTCGGAGGTTGATTTTTCATTTCTGAATGATTGTGAGGGATTTCTAACTGTGAATGGGTTGTGAGGGATTTCGTCGGAGATGGGGACGGATTTCGCCGCAGAGAGTGAGAGATGGAGATGGACTGAGTTGTGATTTTGGTTTTAGGTTATGAGTTACGATTACGGGATATACTGTGGATGGTTCAGTGTTTCGATAATTAATATTCGTGTTTGGAATTTGAAAATAAAATACGCGTAGAGATTTTAATGACGCTTTAAAAATCGCGTTGCGATTTACGGATACGCGTTGTGATTTACGCATTGCGATTTACGTATTCTCGGTGCGATTTACGGATACGCGTTGCGATTTTACGGATACTCGTTGCGATAGTCAGAATCGCGTTGCGATTTATATGTTCGCGTTGCGATTTTCCAGAACGATTTTCATATTCGCGTTGCGATTCTGGAAAATCGCAATGCGAATTCGTACTATCGCATTGCGATTATTCATAATCGCGTTGCGATTCTAAGAACTGATTTGCGATTCTAGAAATCGCATTGCGATTTTTATTTCTCATTGTAATTTTATTGATCATTTTGACAAATCAAAAAAAATTTGGTTAAAATCGTATATTATAAGACAATTTTAATCAATGAGACGATTTTCTCTATTTAATATAACTGATCGTGAACAAAAGCTTAAAGAAAATTCACGAGGGGGAGCATGAACAGTTTTGTGTTAAGGTCAGCGAAGCAATGCGTGGTCAACGGCCGGAGCTACGGAACCATCTCCGGCGTCCGAACAGTGTACGGATCCGCCGTGGTTGGGAGAAGTGTGGAGCTGAGCGGGCAACGAAACGGCGGCTTGGCGTTTGGAGGGCTTGAGTGGCGGAGGATGATGAGCTATGCTCCTGCTTCAATGGAGAAAGCGCCTTTGGAGAAGAAGGAACGTGAGAATTCGGCGGCGGAAGATACGAAAGGGGAGGATGTGGTGGCATCGAGTTATTGGGGGATTTCAAGGCCTACGATCACCAGAGAAGATGGCACCGTTTGGCCCTGGAACTGCTTCATGGTACCGTTTCACCTTTTTAGAATTTTGATAATTTTGTTTCTTTCTCTTGTTTTTAGAATTTTGATCTGAAATCGAATCGAGTATCAAAGATAATCGAATTTCTTTCGATTAAGATCAATTCAGTTCATTAGTTTCTAAATCAAATTATTCTTATCAATTTTCTACTAGTTCTACTAATTCAAATTAGTTTTCAACTTTATATATATATATATATATTTATATTGTTGACTTGTTTCTGTTGACCACAATCTTCTAAGGGCTTGTTTGGATCCTAAAACAAAATGAATAAAATCGTTGAAGTTGAATGTTTCAGAAATGAATTTATCATTTATATTTGATTAAAGGATTTAAACTCGCTATTATCCTTGTTTTTAAAATAAACATGATCTCAAAAGGTTTGTAAATATGAAAAATTTTAACTAATCTTCTGTTTGATGATCTGATTATTTTTTTCTGCGCTGTTTGTTTGTGTCTATGATGCAGCCATGGGAAACGTACAAGGCAGACGTGTCAATTGATGTGAAAAAGCACCACGTCCCACATAACTTTGTGGATAAATTAGCTTACAGGACAGTCAAATTCCTTCGGGTTCCTATGGATTTGTTCTTTGAGGTTTGTGTTTTACCTTCTCTGTTCCATAACTACAATATTCTATAATTTGTCTAATTGCATTTTATAATGTTCTTAGTATGTTGTTAATGATTTTTTTCCTCATTTCGACCGATATTAGAGGATCGTATTCATATACACATTCATATCTAAATATGTATTGGACATGAATGTATATCCTATGGCATTGCAGTTCGGTTGTGGTTTAGTTTATGTATGGTCAGAGATGGGTCGAGGGGGTGGGGTTGCAATCGCATCTATGGAAATTTCTTATATAGTTTTCTAAGTTCGTACTTTAATATAAAATCATGTGCCCGTCCATGTAGCATACACATGCCTAGAATCCGGATATTTGTAGGCCTGCTGCTTGGAATCGATTCTCCGATTCTGTTTTAATACTTGATCCATGCAGAAACGTTATGGCTGTCATGCAATGATGCTGGAAACTATAGCGGCCGTCCCCGGCATGGTCGGAGGGATGCTTCTACATCTCAAGTCACTCCGTAAGTTCCAGCATAGTGGCGGGTGGATTAAAGCTTTACTCGAAGAAGCCGAGAACGAGAGGATGCATCTGATGACTATGGTTGAGCTTGTGCAACCCAAGTGGTACGAGAGGCTCCTTGTTCTTGCCGCGCAAGGGGTGTACTTCAACGCTTTCTTCCTTGTTTATGTAACCTCCCCCAAACTGGCGCATAGATTTGTCGGGTATTTGGAAGAGGAAGCGATCATCTCGTACACCGAGTATCTCGAAGCGATCAAAAGCGGCAAAGTCGAAAACGTTCCGGCCCCTGCCATCGCAATAGATTACTGGAGATTGCCTAAAGATGCTACGCTAAAGGATGTTATAACTGTCATCCGCGCTGATGAAGCTCATCATAGGGATGTCAATCATTTCGCTTCGGTACATATAACTCGTCTCTCCCACATTCCATTCTCATTGTTTCTTTTAGTACATTCTCTGTGAATTGATTTCTGGATCGGCATCTGATCGAGTAGCCTGGTATTTGAATCAAGTTGGAACATGGACCTGTTTTTGACTTGGGCGATGGACTTAAATTTATTCGAATTACTAAGAATTTGTCCAAAGCTTGATCTCGACAAGTCTAACCTACCGGATCAGGCCAGTAGCCCGGTTTTCGGATAGACTCGAAAGTACCGTCCTCATATATCTCGATTCCGAAGGTTCGATAACTGATCTTATTGCTTATTGTTTATGGGGTCCTGGTGTATGCAGGATATTCAGTTTCAGGGGAAGGAACTGAGGGAGGCACCGGCTCCTCTTGGTTATCATTAACTCGAACTCAATGTCGGATTACGGTGGCTATTCATGTGTTGATGCAAACTTGAAGGGTATTTATTTTGTATATTGAGTATAGTGTGTGTGGCTTATTGTAATTTCCAAATTAATAAGAATTTTGTTTATTACTATTTTGACATTTCTTTCATATTCTTATTACCACCTTTTAATTTATTCTTAATATATTTAATGCATGTTTTTTTTTAGTATTTTTGCTATATATATATTCACTAAAAATAATAGATATAAGAATTTTTATATTACAAGTGTACTCAAAAAATTAAACAATCTATATGATTAATAATAACCTAGATTAAGTTGGTATAATCAATTAATCAAATGTGTTTTTTTAAATAATTATCAATATTTGATTTATTATTTGATTAATTCTGATCAGAATATTACATAAGAAACGGTGACCCTCTCGACCTAATTTACTACATTCGTAAACATCAAGATTTAAACCCTTAACTTTGATTAAGGTAATAAATTATTACTACATATTAAACTCATATATTAAAAATATAAATGAGTTACTACATATTAAACGCATATAGTATTAAAAATATATATGAGTATATTATATATATATATGATGAGTTAATCAATCAAATTATATTTCAATTAAAAATATTAAAATATATATTCCTTTAAATTACTATAATACTATTTTTATTTATAACCCTTTAGATAAAATAATATAACATCATACAATAAGAATCAAATTTAGATAAAATAATATAACATCATAGATTAAGAATAAAATTTATAATTAATAAAAATCAATGAATAAACCAGATACAAGGATTAATTCAAAAAATAAAATTGTAACCAATAAAATTAATAAATAAATTATTTACTACTCATGATTAAAAACTTTTTTTATCACTCATATTGTACGACAAATATAGTCTAAATTATTTTCATAAATAATTATAATCACTATGTGAATTAATTTATCATTTTATATATTTAAATTATCCAATTTAAAAAATATTTACTTTAATATTTCTTTTAGTTAACCCAACCCAAAAAATATATCTTCAACATAACTCGATTTAAAATATTATATGCTCCACCTAATCCGACCTGAAAAATATATCTTTCACCCACTCCAAACCAAAATTTCAGATTATAAATCCAATCCGACCCGATAAAAAATATAGACTTAATTTAAAAAAACAATAGCGAGGAGTATTATAACAATTATCCTAAATTTATTTAAAGAAATTATACTATTACCCCAAGTCAAATCAGAGTTTTTTCACCTCAACCCAAACTAACTCAATCTACAAAATTTGACCCGACCAAACCCGAACCCATTTTTTTTAAAGAAATCTAACCCTATTAAATCGGTCAAAATCCATCGAATTCCGAGTTAAATTGTCCCCCCTACTTCTACCTTAAACAGAACTCAACATTTAAAGACAGTTGTCATTTCAACCCTATACAACAACGATTTGTAAAATTTTGCCTCTAAAATTACGTGTATAATCAACAAATGACAATTATTGGAACATATAAAAAAAAAGAAAACAAATAACCACACAAAATCAAATATCCATTTTTTATTTGATGGACACCATTGGGCGATGATGATACCCATAGCATGAATCATGTGATACACAGCCATAACCCGAGGCTGAAGCAAAGCTCTCTTATGAAGTGTATACAGCCCGTTTTGCGAAGAATAACAAAAATGAGTGTGCGTCTTACAGAAGAATGCCATCCGCAATGTAAGAGACCTTAATCTCCTCTTAATTACCGTAAAAATGTTCACAATTATTTCTTAAACAGTTTAGTGTTCTTTACCACCATTGAATCACCCTGGTTGCCCTATTGAAAGGATAAATGGTAAATTGATTATATCTATGACTTCAAAGCCTATAATGTTACTCAGACTCGGGTCTATGTGTCAAACATGAAAGAAAGAAACTATGGTGAGACACCTTCAACAGCTTCCTCAACTGCAATTGAACCAACCAAAATTTCACATGAATCATATAAATGCCTCGATCATTTAAAGTTTGCTGTGTTTAATGAATCACTAATAAAAGTTGTGTTATCATGTTCATTTTCAAACAACAGAAACGTAATTCGGTCTAACACGTACGTCATAATCGTAATGAGGGGAAATAGATTAAAGTTTCAATCTATTTGCAAAGAGGACCTTCATAATTACTACATAACACCTCCAAAGTAACCAACAGATAAAATCTCCAAGAGCCACTAGTCTGAAACCAAAATATTAGAAAAGGGTATGCTTAAATTCTTAATTAACACCAGACACTCCAATACGGGTGTCGGAGAAGAATATGTGTTTGACATGGGTATAATAGTTAGATTTTTCATAATTGTTTCTATACACACCGTCCTCGGAAGTCATATCCCTATATCTCTGTGTCAGAAACAAATACTTCAAAAAGGAAAAATAAGAACATCATAGGCAATACCACACACAGGGTTACCGTACAAGGTCTACAGCTACATAATCGAGCATATCCTAGTAAGCAGGGCGATAATATGTCCGGATGCCAAATGAGGAAATCATTGTTAGTCCTCAAACCAAGCACATTCTTAACAGTTAGCAGGATTTTTCAAGTTAGGCTAATCAAGCACATAACCAAGTATAACTGAAAGAGGAGCATGAAACCACAATCAAACAACACAAATTAAGGGTATAGATTTGATCACCTCGAAGGTTAGAATTGAAACCACAGGTAGTCAAGTGTTTAGCTAGTGCCTCTCCCAACTCCTTTTGCCAATTTTGGTAAGGCCTTGGCTTCGGAAACAGGCCACACGATCGCCGTTTCCGAAGCTAGATCAACACTTGCAGCAGAGACCTGGGGCTGCACATTAAAGAAATCATACAATAAGAGATAGAAACGACTCCATATCCAATGATATATATAACTTACTTGACTTTCTAGTATTTTCTTCACACTTGAAGCACACCCGCCGCAAGTCATCCCCTAACGTAAAATTTAAGAGCGAAAAATCAGTCGCATTTTACAATTTTTTTTCAATTCTTTCTAAATTTAAGAATATAAAGGGGAAAAGGGGGAATCATATTACCCCAACATTGAGAATAATGACATCGGAGGAAAGGGAAGAAAGGTCATCGGCCGCACTGGCTCCTAATTTAGCCTCGGAATCTCCGCCGCCCGTTCCTTCCCCACCACCTCCGCCACCGCTACCGCCACTGCTCCCATCATCGCCACCAAACGCTCCGCCGCCGTCAGAACTCCCAAGACACTCCAAACGGCGGGGAAATCGTTTGGGAATGGAGGAGGAGCAGATCCTTAGAGGAGAGAGATAGGAAAGGGAGGCGGCGGGGGTAAAGAGAAGGCATTTGGGGTTGGTCAAATGGAGGTTTAGGGTTTTGGGAAAGGATAAGGGAGTGGCTGAGAGGGCTGATTCCATGTCTAAAATTGTTGTTATCTTTGGTTTGCGTGTGTATTTATATGCAGAAGGCAATGAATTTCTGAAATCTTAATTCTCAAATAAGGCATTTTTAAAGTTTGTTCTTAAAATAAGGTTATTTTATCTCAATAATTATTAGGGTAAATTGCTCCTTTAGTATATAAATTATCGATTTTGGTCCATTTCAGTAGAGGTGAGCAAAACTCAACTCGACTTGAAAAGCCCATTTTTTTGACTCGACTTGAAAAAAATTCAAATTCAAATCGAGTTGTAAAATACAACTCGAAATTTTTAATAATTATTAGATTGATTTCTAAGTTTGAGTTGAGTACCTTGATTTTGTATGGTATATGTGAATCATATATGAAAAAATATAAAAAATATAAATGTATTGTATATTGTTATAAAATATCATTTAAATTGAAATCAAATAATGTCATAATATTGTAAATATTTATAATTAAATTTAAATGGGAACTCGAAAATTTGACTCGACTAGACTCAGAAAAATTTCAAGTTAACTCCAACTTATAAAATAGGACTCATAAACTTAAATAACTCAAATTTTTTTACTCGACTCGATCAAAAGCTCACCCTACATTGTACCTAAACTTTTATCTTTTTTAAAACCATACCTAAACTTTAATTTTTGTTTCATTTTACTACCCGTTCAAAATTTAATGTTTTCTTTGAATTTTTTTTAAAGTTTAGGTATTAAAACGCAACAAAACCAATAGTTTAGGTACTAAGCATGTTAAATTTTTAACGATGGCATACACAAAAACTAAATGATAGATGTGATTTTGAAAAAAATTTGAAAGTTTAGATAGTAAAACATATCAAAATTGATAGCTTACGTACTAAATACGTAGTTTACCCTAATTATTAAGAAGGTCAATTTAATCATTCATTTATTTTCTAATTTTCTTCTGATATTCCAGCACTTTTTTTTTCGTTTAAACTTTTTATTCTTCCTTTGTCCATACATGTCCTTATTTTTTTAACCTCATTAATTATTTAGTGGTAAGAATAGTTTTCACTTCTGGTTAAATTTTTATTTGAATCTATAAAATATTTAGCTGGATTAGTTTTATTATTGTGCAATATACATAGAAAAATAAATTAAAAATATTTAAATATTAAATATATTTTGATTTATAAGTAAAGATGAATTTGAATAATATAAATATTTTTTTCAATTTTTTTTAAAAAATATATAAATAATATTCGACAAAAACAATTAGAAGGAATGTTTTAAAAATTAAACATTTTAATATGAGAAGAAATGGATGTCCCTTTTTCTCATATGTATGGGGCAAGGGGGAGGTAAGATAGTAGGCTACCCCCAACACCAGGTTGAGAGCAGCTTCCGTAAGAGACCTTCGAATTATGAAATGCCCTCCGTGGGACTCGATCCCACGACCTCAAGGTTAAGAACCTTGTGCTCTACCAACTGAGCTGGATGGTCATTTCAACCTGATGTTGGAGGTAGCCTACTATCATACCTCCCCTTACCCCCATACATATGGGAAAAAGGGACAGCCATAATATGAGAAGAAACTCAGGACCTACCGAGCTTTAAACCTGTATTGAATAATAGTGAATAGAAAAACAACGGAAGAAGCTTAACCTGCTAAATGTAACAGTGGAGAAATGTAACAGCGGAAGAAACATTTGAAGATGCCGATGGACCTGCAGCGGAGTCGGGCTTTACTACTCCCCCTCAGAGGTGCTAGCTTCTGAAATGGAATTATTAGCAGCCCCATACTCAGCCAGCCGGGGAACACCGAGTGAGTAAACACTTCCATTTGGAGTTACGAGAACTCTCGAGAAAGATGTATCCTCCTCAGACTCTGCGTCTTCGTCACCGTCGCTTTCCAATTGCCTTTCCTGAGCTTCCCGACGAATGTACTTCCCAAGACTATCAATCAGCAGCTGCTCAAACACCTGGTGATTTTCCTTACGAACGTCCATGTAACCATACCTGAGAAAGCGGTTGGTCAGTCGACCGAGAGAACGACGAGAAATAAGGTATTGTGCACGTAGTGGAAAAAGAAAAGTATCAAAGATGCTGCCAAATTAATTCCGCAACTCCCCTACCAGTATCATTTTTATAATTCGAAACACATCATCTTACCTGGCAATACACCGGAAGAAATGGTAACTTTTGGGGCACAGTCGCCTGATATAGAATCTTTCATTCTGAGGCACCACGGGAACAGGGACATACTTGACGCAGACAGAGATGATTATGGAGTGGATAGCGGGGAGAGTGGTTATGAACTGACCGAATATAGCCGGTACTCCTTTCACCAGCTCATTATGAAGCAAACCGATACCAGGAGCTCTGATTGTCCCAAGGTTGCAGCCCAATTCTATCATCAAATCCATCGGCAATTTTCGTGTGACTTCAGTTTCATACTTGAGCTTGCTACCATAATTCCAGATCTACATGATGACAAACATTATGATGGCGAAAACCAATATTATCCAACTTCCATCTGGCACACTACATAAAACTGAGGAGAAAAATGTCAATTCCGAACCCAGGAAGAAGATCACAGAGCTCAGCACAATTATGATGTTTATCTGCCATATGAGAAGCAGAAACAACAAGCAAGGTACAAAATTATCATTCTTTTTCCTTTTTTCCTCTGTAAACGGGCTAATACACCGTAAACCTCTCCGATTTCATTTTTCACTCGAAAATCAATAAAAAACAAAAAAAAACGCAAGTTTCAAAGGGATTTTTTTGTTGGCGTTTTTTATTTTATTTTTTTAGCTTTAGAAAATAAAAAAAATAAAAAGAAAAAAGAGTGTTACCTTCGGCCGGGCATGTCGCCAGAGTTCGGAGGGTCGGTTTGCAGATTTGAACTGTGAGAAGGTGTAGTGTGTCCCCGAGACCAACATACTTTGGTTTGGGCCGGATCCAACGACGAACGGCGGAGATCCGGACGGTGGAAGTCGAGAGGTTCTCGGCTTATTTCGTGGCATTGGGGGCCGTTTTCACAAAACCAAGCTTAGATTTGTGAACAATGCATCGAGAGGAGCAGACCCGTGAAATTTGGTGGCCAATGGCCACCGACAGCCGACGACGGGCCGATTTATAGTGAGAGGCCAGAGATTCTTTCTCTAACTTTTTTTAAAAAGAAAAAGATGAAAAAATATATTAAAAAAATGGAAAAAAAATTGATATTTATAAAACAAGTTTCAGGAAAAATTTCTGTTTAGTCACCCGTGTTTTAACGCCTTTTTGCATATTGGTCATGTGCAGAGTCATGTTTCATAATTTACCCATTTTTGTTTGTGCATTGTAATTTTTGGTATAATTACTGTTTAGTCACCCTATTTTACGCTTATTTTTACAAGTTAGTCACTTATAGAGACTTTTTTATGATTTACCTTTTTATACATGTTATATATTTTTAGGAAAAATTACCTTTAGGTCCCTATAGTTTTCAAGTGTTTTTGCATTTTAATCCCTAAAACTAGTTTTTTATTTTGTTTAGATTTAGCCATTAAATTTTAATTTGTTTTAATTTAGCCCTTGTTTCATTTAATTTATTTTCTTTAATCCTTATAGTTTTGTAATTATGCGATTTAATCTTCATTTTTATTCCTTCAATGTGTGCTTGTTTATTTAATATATTTAATTGTGTTTATTATAGCTAGTGTTTCTTAGATTTTGGTTAACTAGTTTTTAGATTTAGTCCTTAAGTTAAGATAATTCTTAATTTGTTCATCGCTTTTGCTCGAGATTCTAATTTAATTATCCGAATCTTAAAATTAATTTAAAATTAGAACCTCTATTTTAGTTAGATTTCAATCTAATCCTTTTAATTTAGGGATAATTCGAGTTGTCTCTCACCTAAATGCTCAAGGGATCATCTCAGTTATTTAATTCAATAATTGATTCAAAAATCAAATAAAATTAATATTAGAACCTACATTTTTAGTTTTATGCCTTTAGGTTCTTTAATTTTTATAATTTGACAATTTAACATAGAAAAAAACCTTAATCTACCATTAGTTAATTAGGATAACTAAAATTTGTTTGATTGCATTTTATTTTTAAACCTAAGACAATATTCACTTATTAGAGAATTAATTATATATCTCTCGCAAATATGCTCAACAGGTGACTACTGGTGATTCCCGAAATAAGTCAACATCCTTTTCAAAAACCGATCATGATTTTCTAAAATTAAGGAAATATTCGGTTATTAGACACAATAGCTGATCTCTCGCATTCATGCTAAGGGACAAATGCTATCGGCCTTAATAAACGAATACCATTATCAACCTTTTTGCATCCGTAATAATTTTCAAATTAAATAGAGATCGAACTCAAAATTTTTTAATTTTAAATATAACGTAATTAACTAAGTATCAATTTTTGGGCGCTTGTGTGGTGCTAATCCTTCCCCACACTTGACTAACTCCCAAATCCGATTTTTGGATTTTTTGCAGACCCTAAAACTTAATATTTTGATAAAAATAAAATATTTTATTAAAATCACAGTTTTTATAGTGTCCAAATCACACCTTAAATGATTGGTGGTGACTCCTCGCATTTCGAAACTCTTTTCCAAGAAAGACCCCCAAGTCGGTATCGGTCTTTTTCCCGTCCGGGCGAAAAACGGTGTGGACACAATGATAACAGAAGTGATGACTATTAGTACAACCAACACAAATGAAACTTATCAAGAAATATTACCGTAGGCATTTCCATCTCGTTAATGCTTGAGATGGAGCAAACCATGACCAGGCAAACTCCCAGCAATAACCAGTTTATGACACGAGTATAGATCTGACCCATGAATTTTTTAGACGAGGGAAACAACCAAGAGCAGATGATTGCTCTATGCACGAAAATGTTGCTGTTGTCATAGCTCGGCTGGTAATCAAGGTGGCAATATTAGCCATAAATAAGACTGGCCAAAATGCACCACCTACATTGGGCAAAAACAGTTTCCCATTTAGAGGAAGACAAGCAGGACGTATTTTCAAAATAAAATATAGGTTCCAATCCAAATAATCGATGATCAGATAACCCATTGATGATAAAGCGTGAAACTTACTAGGAATTGAAGAAAGCATGCTCAGCACCGTTATGATTTCCTATAAAGTATGCTGCTTGACCCAGATAACCCAAAAATAGGCACCGGCAATACGAGAAAGACAAATGTGAGCTGCAAACAACCACTATTACACAAATAAAAAAATTGTAAGATCTAGAGTACAGGACTAACTACCAGCAATTAGTACAGGACATACAAAATACATATGATAAGGTAAACTCTTGCTCCATTACCTGAACTGATCGTACAGAAAAGTAGCAAAGGTCTGCAAACATTGCTTCAGATCCTGAAACATTAAATTGTCATCAGCACAATGAGATCATATAGAATGGCATATGGCCATTAATTTCCAACTTCAAACTCATCAAAGCTTAATCAAAATGCTTTACTTTAGCTGAATTTTGTAAACACATTAAAATATTGCATTCCAATGCATCAAAGAAAACAATAGAATAAATGATAAAAAAAGTTGGGATAATGTGAGATAACTAGAAGTGAAGTTCCTACAACAAATTTGTGGGGTTGCAAGAGAGAGAGATTTTGCAGTATGACGTTCTTTGAAATTATCCTTAACAAAAGGAGGAAAATTGATTAAAAATAATAATAATAGTCAACCTTGAAGTACAATAATCTTTTATCAATGTGTTTACCTGTTGTACATAAAAGACAACCTCCAAGAGCATACCGGGCATTAGCTGAGTTTCTCTTGAAGTATAAATAGATATGAACAGGATTAAATGCCCTCAAGACACTTGCATCATGCTTAACAAGATTGTAAATTCCAATGCCTGCTAAAGAACAAAACCATATGAACAAAGCAGGGCCTACAACATGTCCTACTTGACTTGTTCCAAACTTCTGTACACTGAACAAAATTACAAGAAAGACAACCGATATCATCACCACTTCACCTGCAAATAAAGAAAAGAAAATAAGGAAACACAATAGTTAATGACTATTTACCTGTAATAATATAGAAAATCATAAAGAGACATAAACCATAGGACGTAAAGGAGGGAAGGCAAAAGAAAAAAGGCCATATTGTTTCTAATACATACATATTTAACATTTAGCTAGACTGGAAACTCTAGTCCGACTAAAGTTAAACTATCATTACAAACAGCACATGATCGTGAAAAAGGCAGCTGCAAAAACGCAATGAAGAATTGTAGACTCATGATCAAGCTATGAGATCTACAGGTTAATAACCATCCCATGATATATTCAAAATAACAAATAAGTTTCAATAGCATACAAGTTAAATTATGCAAAAGATTCCTAGCCAAAAAGGTCAATTAGAAACAGGAATGTCCTCTCTAACAGTATTTACTAACAAACAGTGAAATGTGAGCCAGCAAAGCAATAATGTTTCATAGAGTTGATAGCAGCATGGAATAACAGCTTACTTTGTTCAATTGCACCAACTCCAACCTTCAGACCACCAATAGAAGACATAACTACAAATAAAAATGCAAAAGTTATCATCTAAAAATTAAAAATGAAAATAGAACACTCAAAACAGTTATGTTGTATTCTACCATAGCGTGATTCCGTAAACAAAAGAGATGAAAGAACAATAACACATAAAAACCTGACATCGCTGGGGTAACAACCCCATCAGCTATCACCATAGAAGTGCCAACAAGCACTAACATCAGAAGAAGTTTCTTCAGAGTCAATGAAGTCTCTAGTCGGTCCTTTATTTTAAGTGATCTCTCGAGCTCAGGAGACGGCACCTTTAGCATGAAGCCAGATATCCGGGTATCTGATGGAACCTGATTCGGGAGAAGACTGACCTTAGCATGCCGATAAATCAATGAGTACAAATGTAAAAGTACCACCACCTTCAAGAAAAAAGCAGCAACAAATGATGTAAAATAGTTGACAAGGAATATATACTTAACATATTTGTTTGAGACCTACATAAAAGAATGAAAGATCATAAAATACAGCAACAAAACATGTCAAACAGTTGACATGGAATTAATATTTAACATATTTGTTTAAGGCCTGCATAAAAGATCATAAACAAGGACTTGATTGGGATTGAGGAACATCTGGCATACCTTCACCGTCATCATTAGCCCAAAGAACGATAAGGACACATTTGACAAACGGAATCACGAGTAGAGTGTATAGAACCAGTGATTGTGCTCCAATAACATCTTCATATCCGTTGATAGGTGCCTTGCTAAACATCACACTAAACGTATATAAAGGACTTGTTCCATCATCACCAAATACAACACCGAGTCAGAAACGCATGTATTATTATCCTTTCTATACCAAAGTCCTGAGATTAAAAGTTAAGTATACGCATAAAAGTAAGCTGCAAAATTAAAGCACATTAAAAAAAGGTATGCCTCAACGCGATAAAGTTAGATACCGAACAAATTCGATTTTTCAAGATTACAAACAGAGGACTGATTTATTGCATTTGCACCATGAAACAAGAAGAACAATATACCTCGTAGTCACTTCTATGAGCGCCATGGACTTCGAGAGCTTCGACGTCGAAAGAATCAACGCGCGGTTCGGTGCGAATCAAACGCTGCACCGGACTATCCTCGTGTTCGGAATCTACTCCAGCTCCATACGGCACATCTGTAGTATCTTCCTCGTCCTCGATCTCAGATTCGTCTTCGCCTGGGAGCACCCAACGAGATTCCAATGAATCCATCGAGCCTGATCCTACTGCTCTGCTGATCTCTCCTCCTCCTCCTCTTCTCTCCGACAATGAACCTCCGCCGCTACCGCCGCCGGCCTCCTCCGCCATTGAGAAAACAAATGATTTATAAGAGATTCGATACAATATAACTAGGAAGAAGTTATCATGGATTTTTTGATATTATAGGTGGGCAATTATTTTTGGATGGTGCTCGAAGGAGATTACGCGGTGAACGTAAATGGCAAAACGGTGTTTTTGGGTTTGCGTCAGTCCTCTAACGAAGCAGGGGATATATCCATTGGAATAGCGTTTGAACTTCACTTGCTCAGATGGGCTATTCGTGCCACGCGATGATCTGGATTTTGACATACGCGCGGGTCGTGTACTGAACGTGGCGGAAAACATCAACACAAATACCCGTGTTTATATATTGGGTAAATTAACAAATGGTCCTTTATATTTTAGATCCGTAACACTTTAATCACCGATTTAAGAAAAAAATAGTTTTTGATCTTTTTTATATTATATTAACAAAAATCTGAATTGGTGATTAAAAAATAAAATAAAACAAAGCGCCATATGTGTTCCTCTACTTCTTTTTTCTTCTTTAATAATAAATAAACTTTTTTATCCTTAATAAATTTATCAATTTTACGATAAAACTTTGGGTTAATTATATGATTGATCACTTATGTTTGGGTTTAGTCTATTTTTCTTCATGGATTTCAAAAACATAATATATGGTCACTTTTCTTTTTATTTAATTAATATGTGGTTGTTAAATATTTTTTTATAATCATACATTTGGACCTTGTGATTTATACATTCTTTTAATTTACTCATATTTTTAAAAAATTAAAATAAATTTAATTCTTCAATCGAATGATGCCGCGTGTCATTAGTACCAAGTTTCGTGCCACGTGTCACGTTAACTCCCGTTATATTTTAGGTTTGTTAGACTTTTGTCACCGATTTAAGAAAAGAACGATTTTGATCCCTTATATTATTGATCCATTCAATTTTAATTTCCCACAGTTAACTCCTGTTAATCCATTAATAAAAGTATGAATTGATGATTAAAAAAACAAAAGCCATGTGTGTTCTTCTACTTCTTCTTTTTATCCTCTATTTTCATGCTTTGCTCTAGGTAATTGGAATCAACCCAAGTCACACACCTGACGGTAGGTGAGTCTCCCAGCGGAGATTTTCTACATTTACAATGACTCGAACCTAAAACCTTGCTTAAGCAATATCAAATTGTTTACCACTTAAACCAATTACATTAGTTATTTCTTTTTCTTCTTTTATAATAAATATTTTTTTTGCCCTTAATAAATTATCTATTTTAGGATAAAATTTAATGTGAACTTCTAAACCAGTAAAAAACTGAATTATAACATGTTAATTAAAAAATAATATGTTTTTAATTAATTTAAGGTAAAAACAAGATAGTATCTATTTAAAAATTATTAATCATTTGACGTTGAGTGTTCATACTATTATTTACATAATGCTCGAAATTTAAATTTAAGAAATTAAAATTTATATATTAATTTTTTATTAAAATTTGTCTATATGTTAAATTTCAAATGAATCAAAGTGTTTATATAATTTTTCTTCACAAAAATAAATAAAATTATTAACTATAAAAAATATGTATAAAACAAAAATAATATAATACTCTTGAACGGCGGCAGAGTTGTAATTAAAATATAAACCATCCAGAATCCGATCATTCTCGAAAACAATTTGTAATTAATCAATTTTGTTTCGTGGATTTTAATATCAGCAGATAAACCCTAACCCTAACTTTTCTTCCCGGTTTCTTCTCATCATCTGCGAAAAAAAATGTCTCACTTTGGAAGATCAGGCCCTCCCAATATCACCGACACATACTCTCTTCTCGTTCTCAATATCACCTTCCGTAAGCTTCTATTTCTACGGCCTCCCTCGTTAATTTCTTATTTGCTAAAAGTTTGTTGATGTTGTTAACTAAAAGAACATTTGATTTTGGTTTTGAATTTGTGTAGGAACGACGGCTGATGATTTGTTTCCATTGTTCGACAAGTACGGGAAGGTCGTTGACATCTTCATCCCCAAAGATCGAAGGTTCTTATTCTGATTGATTGTTATAATTTTATTGATCCTTTGTGGTTGTTGCCTTGCTGGTAATTTATAAGAGAATAATTTTTCTTAATTTTGGTAGGACCGGCGATTCTCGAGGTTTTGCGTTTGTGCGCTATAAGTATGCAGACGAGGCACAAAAAGCTGTGGATAGGCTCGATGGTAACCCATCTTCACCTCTTTTTATTTCCCCTCGTCACGCGAACAATTTTTTTTGCTTAAAAGTTGTGTTTAATTACGATATTGTATTGATTTTATAGATAACTCGTTAAAATATGTGAAATTTTCCTTCTTCTTGCAGGGAGAGTGGTTGATGGTCGGGAGATAACAGTTCAGTTTGCAAAATATGGGCCTAATGCAGAGAGGATGTAAGTTGTGTTTTAGCTGCAGTTAATTATTCGATGCTTTTCCACCTGAACTGCGTGCCTAATGTAGAAAGGATATATGGTGTGTGATAAATATTTGGTGAAAAATGATTTTGGTTCTTGTTTAATCAAGTATTTTGATGGGGGGAAAACCTCCTTGTTTCTCTTCAACTTGAAACTTGTCGGCTTGCTTAAGTAATTTGTATCGATGATTACCTGGTTACTGTTTGCGGTGATTGTTTGAGAAACTTTTTGGGGTTTCTTGCTTAAAGTTTGTGGTGCAATCTATGGTTTTCTTTTTCTTAAATGTTTCCTGTATGTATACCCCATTATTATTGTGGTGAAAATGTGAATTTGGTTATGGTATAACTTGTTGTTATGAAGTACACTTTCTTGCTTGGCTTCATCATGGATAAGGTTCACCTGCTTAAGTAACATGCAGTTCTGGTAAATTATTTACTGTTTACAGTTATAGTTTGAAAGTCTTGTTTGGCTTGCTGCTTATGTTCTGGTACAACATATAATGCCTTTTTTCAAAAAAATTGTAGATGTGCCTCCTTTATGTAATATGGTTCTAATTTTTCTAGTTATTTCATTCTTGAAGTCACTGATGTAATATTTATTTTTCAGTAGCAAAGGAAGGATTATTGAATCAGTTCCAAGGTCGAAGTACAGGTCAAGAAGTCGCAGCCCTCGAAGAAGTTAAGTTATTTAACCACCTCCCCCTCACTGTTTAGAGTACTTCTGATCTTTTTTTACTGTAATTGCATTTTCTCTTATATCTTGTCCCCACCTGTTTGTAAATCATGGGAAACATTGATGAAAGGATAATCATGAGGGTTTATAATGTTATGCATTTTCCTTATCAACTGATGTGGTATTGATTACGGTAGCACGAACATGATGGTGCTAAGTGTTGATTGTTCTAAATTAAATCAATGTTTATCTGCTTGTTCCTGAATTGCATGTCTGGCCAAATACAAACTGTTTCTTTTCCAGTTTACATCTTGACATTTCTAAATTAACTTTTATCTTATTCAAGTTAAAGAGGGGAAGCCCACTTGGCTTGTATATGTGATGCTTTTAAGCCTGTTTTAATAGCCAAATTATATAGGGATTAACTATATTTCTTTATGGTCTAACTTCTAATCATCTGATATACATGGTATTCATTATCTTCAGGCACCGGGATGATTATTACAGATACAGGGATTATAGGAGAAGTCGTCGTAGGAGTTATGACCGGTATGAACGTGATCGATATCGTGAGAAAGACTATCGCCGTAGAAGCAGGAGCCGCAGTGCAAGTCCTGACTATTCTAGAGGTCGAGGAAGAGGGCGCTATGATGATGATCGGCGGAGTGGCAGTAGATCAATGAGGTTTATATTTGTACTTCGCTCACATGTTAGAATGTCCAATTTCCTCTATTTTCAAAATCTTTTATGCTTCAGCCTTCAGCTTTTTGACGATACCTTCTTTGTTTTAGTGCTTCTCCTGCTCGCCGCAGCCCTAGTCCTCGGAAGAGTCTTTCCCCACGCAAGGTATCTCCCAGGGGTGAAAGTCCTGACAGACGCAGCTTTGATGGGCGGTCCCCAAGTCCTCGAAGTGTTTCGCCACAAGGCCGTCCTGCTGATTCTCGTAGCCCATCCCCTCAGAACTCCGTTTTTGATGTGAGTTTCACTTTCTAATGTATTCCTTTTCACTTCCCCTTTTTGTTCAATCTACTTTTTATTAAATTACCTTTACAAGAAGTGGACTGGTTCTAATAGTTTAATATGTACTTTTTTTATTTGAATTTTGTAGGAATGATCTTGCGGATGGATTACTGGAGAGACTCTAAGTAGCATGTTTCTTGTTGCTGTCTTGAGGACATTCATATATCATGTGTTTCCTAGTATTGGTAGGACTGGTTTTAATCAAATTTCCTGAACATTCTCCCTGTTACTTAAGCAGTGTCTTGGTGTCAAAACATATGTAGCTTCTAGCTTGATGTTTCAGTACCCACCGAAGATTTTGTGATGTAAGTTTTTTATTTTAGTTTGCTTCGCTGTCCCTCAGATCTTATAGTTGGTGCTTTGCTTGTTAGTTGACCCCCTAATTTATCTCACGGAGCGACTTTACTTGATTGTTTCTTTTCTGTACTTTTCGTAATTGTGTTTTCTGTAATCTAAGAAAGCTGATCCATGTCAAACCATCTGTTGGGTTTTATAGCAATGTTCGGGGAAAGAGTGACCTGAGCAGTTGGACATGATGTTGATGTGTGGCTGTTGATGCTGTTCATGTCTGTAGATGAATGATTGCGGTTGTGATGCCGGTTATAGCAGTATGCTGATTGCAGGGACCGGCTGTTAACTATTTTTAACTGATATGGTAATTGGTAAGACCCCTAGTCCAACTCTTGAATTCTGGAAAAAGCCTTTCATCTACCAGGTTCCTTATTTTTTCTTCTGATTATCCCCTTGAGTTACTGTCTAAAAAATGGCACCGAGATCGAAAATGAGTTTTCGGACCTGTAGAATACTCTGCATATGATGGACGTGTGGTGGATAGACGTTATGCAGATTCTAAAGTAGAATGTAATTTTCTTGTTCGAACAGGATAACCTTTTCTTTTTTCCTCTAAGATTGTTTCGTTGGCATATCCCGATATTCATGTATAACCACACCCTATTGCTAATATTTTGAGTTGTAGCAAAATTGCCCGTGACTGTAGCTGTGAAGTGGTGGTTGTGCCGATCTGTTGTAAGATACATATGGATCGTGCTTTAACCTTAGGCTACCGAAGAATAAACCTGTAGCAGGCTGTTGCCGCCATTTGCGGTGTTGCGTTGATTATGGTGGCCTAGCGGATGCCTTGCTTTCCTGTCCGTCTGCTCAAAGCGGGCTGTTCCATTGTTTCCTTCGTGGGCCATTATTTTAATTTTATATTTAAATTCAAACTTATTGAATGATCTTAATGGTTAAAGAGAGTATTGTCCTCCGAGCAATTATGATTGTGGAATGTGTTTGTATCGTAATTTGTTAAAAAAATTATGAATAAACATAGTTAAATAAATTATGAATCAATCCCACCGTTAAACAACGTTGAATTGTTAAAGCTTGTACCATTGTTTCTCTTTGATTTGGACCGGCTAATGGCATATTATTGATTTACTGCATTGATCTTTATTTTTTTTGATTAATCTGATGAAGTATAACACGATATCTATTATAAATAATTCTCTGTCATTTGATATTGGACGATGTTCACATCCTTGATATTTTTGGGCCCGAGCCCGAGATTTTAAGAAATAATAAATTTTTTATTATCGAAATGGTTTGATTCGTGCTACTTAATCGATCTTTAGACTGCAAAATATTATGTCACTAAATGGTATAGGTTGTTTGGTAGGGAAAATCATTATGCTATTTAAGTTGCCTATGAAATTATTTTCATCATTCAACTCTATACTACCTCTACACTGTACACAACACTGCACCACAGACGACTCCAACTTAAATAAACAACTAATCTATTAAATAGTTAAAAAAATTGAGGAAAATACATAATAAGAATATTATACATTAAACTTGAATATAAAAATATTTTAAGTATCGATTTAAGAAAATAAAATATCTAATATAAATACTAACTTACGAATAAAAATCCTTTAAATACCACAAATGTATACTTAAGCAACAAATTTCTCATTTGGTGGGTTACTTATCCATTAAATTATTCTTATTTTGGACGTAATCAAAAGGTGACGATAGGGAACCGACCCGATTGGGTTAAGTTTTTTTAAAATTCGGGTTCGGGTTGGGTTGGTCGGATTTTTTAAATGTGATGTTCGGGTTGGGTCAGTTTTGGGTTTAGGATGAAAAATACCCAATCCCAAAAAATAATTTTATCTTATATATTTAGGAATAATTACAATAATATTTTTCTCTATATTATTATTTTTTCAATTAAATCACTGCTTTTATTGAATAAAATTAATATTTTATTATTATTTCGGGTCGAGTCGGATCGGGTTAGGATTTTATCTCAAAAAATGGGTTCGGGTTTGGGTCGGGTGGAGGGTATATATTTTTCGGATCGGGTCGGATCAGGTGAATGATGTAAATTTTTTTTGTCATGTCGGGTTAGCTGAAACCCGACCCATGTCCATCCCTAGGTGAGGATTAGTATTGTTTAAAAGGCAGTCTTTGATTAATTATACATTAATTACAATTAATGAATCAAAACATTTTCTCATTCCGTGGGTTACTTATCCATTAAATTTTGGCAAACTTAGGGAATAAGCATCACAAAGCCAACAAATACCTCAAAAAGATACCAAATAAAGAGCCACGTGGCATGGGTTATTTTTAGGGATAGAGGGTATTAATGTAGACGTTCTAATAAAAAATATTTTAATTTTCATACTTAATAAATTATATAATAATTCTAATTTAGTGAGTAATATCATGCTTAATAAGATGGAGTGTTTTATTTTTTTTATTTGTTCAAAAGGTGTAATATAACATTCTACATTCAGATTTGGCATTTTTCTAATTTGGGCTCAAAGTTTTCTTTTCTTTCAATTTGATATCTGAATTTAACTTTTGTAGGTTGTTAAATGAACTGATGTCAAAGAGAGATTCATGCTAGATAATAAGGATGAATGATTTGATATTATATTTCATCAATATGAATATCAGTCTTCTTTGCATCGTTAAATCTTTCATTTTTCGTAGGTGTCACGATTTATCGATAAATTTAACATGAATTTCTGTACAGCGTTAGCCCGTCTAACATGTGATCTACAAAGTTGAGTAATATGAAAGGAAAATTGAAGATCCTTTTTATCATCTAGTATTGTCAAATGTTCCATCTAATAAGATAATGTTAAGTTTGAACAATTAAGTTCAAGTATTAAATTAGACCGAAAACAAGTCTAAGGTACTAAATTGGAACAAGTAAAAAATTCAAATATGAAATTAAAACAAAGTACAAAGTTCATATACCAGATATTAGATTAAAGTTTTTTAAAAATATATTTAATACATTACCTAATTTAAACAAAAATGTAACATTCCCTAGTTAAATAAGAGGAATAATAATTCACTTGTTTCACGCGCCACTTGCTAGAGTAGACTTCAAAAGTCCCTACCCTCAAGAGACGGAGACTTCATCAGTCCATTGCAATTTTGCAAATAAGAATAAGAGAGGGTAGGTCTCACGTAAGTTTCATCCCTTAATTTACTATAATTGAAAAATATATGGGTAAATTACATGTTCAGTATCTAAACTATTAATTTTAGTCATTTTAGTACCTAAACTTTTATTTTTTTTAAAAACAATACCTAAAGTTTAGTTTCTGTTTCATTTTAGTACATCTGTTCAAAATTTAACGTTAATTTTTTGAAAAAAAATAAAAGTTTAGGAATTAAAATGGACAAAAATTAATAGTTTAGGTACTAAATGCATTAAATTTTTAACGACATGTACTAAAATGAAACAAAAACTAAACGTAGATATGATTTTTGAAGAAATTAAAAGTTTACGTACTAAAACATACCAAAACTAATAGTTTAAGTACTAAATGTGTAGTTTACCCAAAATATTATTTATCTAAAAGTTTATAAGTGTAAAAAATCTATTTTTTTCAAAAGATAATTTACTTTTTAGATTCAGTTAAGTAGTTATATTCAGAAATTGAATTAATTAAATTTTCAAATTAAAATATTACATTAATTAATTTTTAACCAATTAGACCGTGAAAAGAATTTAACTATATTATAGGGGTCAAAAGAGGTATTAGACCTGAATTAAAAGAGTGAAAAATTCACAATTAGACCATTCATGTAGATCGTGTAATACACGTATATGATCGTGTAATACACGTATATGAATGAGAGCGTAGGATAAATAATTTTTTGCCTATTTAAGTAGTATTGAAAAGGTAAACAGAAAATGCTTGAGAAGAAGAAACGTTGAAAGAAAGAATCAGTCTTTGTCCCTCTGCTTTTCGTTTCTTTATTAAATTTTGTAAAAATTAAAATATCATTTTTTTAAATTTATTTATTAAATATTAAATATTATATTTATTTGTTAGGGTGTGTGAGCAAAAATATAAATAGCGTTTGGTCTTCTCTAAGCCCAGCTTTAATGGCGTGTGAGAGCGAGTATGTATTTGTTTTTATGTACAGTTCTTGAAGTAACCGTATCTGATGTGATGAACCCTTCAATCTTTGCATGCTTCACCAACTCTTCACAAAACGAAAACCCAAAATGGAAGTTCTTTTGATTTCAATGGAAATGTGATTTGAAAAACCATAAAAAAAAAGATTGTTCTTTTTGTGTTTGGTTCCCATCCTCACTCAAAGAAAACCAACCATTTTTCTCTTTTGAAAATCTGAGCGAAACCCAGATGATAAAAACTGGTAAAATGGCGATCTCTTGTGGGTATTTATTGTTGTTTATTTCTCTGATTTGGGTATTTTGATTGTGTCTTGTTTGTGGTTGTGTTGTTCTTTTTGTTTTTGTTGTTTGTGTGATGTTAGAAGCAAGCGCTGAGATTGGTAAGAAGAAGAGAGGGAACATGAAAGATGATGATGAGCTTGATAAGTTGTTGGATGAGATCCCTCATGCAACATCACACCACCACCACCACCATCATCATGTGCATCAACAGCATGATAACAGTCATGTGAATGGGCCGTCATCATCATTCCATGGTATGTGTCTTATGCACGATGATGACATATCAGGCCATAATTATAAGCATAATACATGTACTTCCCCTGTAAGCGGTTTCTCTTTACAGTCAGATGGTTCTTCCTCTAGTCTGTTCTCTAGCAATGGATCACAAACCCCACCTCCATTAGAGGACCTTAAACCACACTTGTCTAATGGACTGTTCCTTGATCCATCTATTAGGAGAAAAGCCAGTAGTAGTGACGGTTTGATTGGTGAAATCGGCCGTTTTAGAAACCTTAGTGAAATGTATATCAGTAATAATCAAGAGAATGGCGGTTCTAGTTTTAGAGATTTCTCCGTTGAATCCAATGGGATTCGAGTGAATGATCATATAGATGTCGAGAACTACGGGGCTTGTGATAAACTGAGGAGGGGTTTCTCTGATGTTGCTGGAATTCTGTCGTCCCCTGTTCCAATGGGTGTTCCATTGAGTTTTCATGGTGAGATGAACATGGCATTTTCTGGTTTGTCTCAGCAAGAATATAGGATGAGTAATTTATTAGGGCTGGGAATGGATTGTTGGAATGGTGAAACAATGAGATCTCCTTGGCAGAAGAAGGAACCGATGTTTACTTATCACATGAGAGGAGTTTCTGTATCAAGTTTAAGCAGTTCTTTGAGTAAGCTTTCGGTGAATGATGCTTTAATCTACGGACAACGGAATGGTCAGATTTGGAACGAAGGACGAGGTGAGCTGAATTTCCATGGTTCTCCAAGGTTGATTCAATCAACCCCTCAAAACGTGTTGCCCCTATCCAATGGGATGGCTAGATCACATTCAACTGTTAAAATGCCACAGGGATGCCATACTGTTGAGGATAGTTACATTATTCAAGGAGAAGGTTTAAATTATGTGATAAATAAGGGATCTGGTTATGCAAGGGCTCAAAACAAGGGTTCCCTGCAGGAGATTGGTGCGAGTAAGCGTCAAATTGGAGCGGCTTGTGGAATTACTAAGAATGACAAGCTATATAGTCCATTCTCTTTGCCACCAAAGTATAACTCTTTGGCTGAAGCTCGTGGACACATTTACTTATTAGCGAAAGATCAACATGGCTGCAGGTTCTTACAAAGGCTATTCGATGAGGGTACTCGACAGGATGTGCAAATGATATTTAAGGAGATCGTTGATCATGTAGTTGAACTAATGATGAACCCATTTGGGAATTACCTCAT